AATCCCACCCCTGTGCCTCTGCCAGCAAAAACAGAGCTCGGGAGGGCCACGTGTAGGCCCTCAAGCTCTGTTTACACTGGTAGAGGGCTGCAGGAGGCCGTCGAACTGGTTTGAACCAGTAGAATCCCACCCCTGTGCCTCTGCCAGCAAAAACAGAGCTCGGGAGGGCCACGTGTAGGCCCTCAAGCTCTGTTTACACTGGTAGAGGGCTGCAGGAGGCCGTCGAACTGGTTTGAACCAGTAGAATCCCACCCCTGTGCCTCTGCCAGCAAAAATGGGCTTCCGAGCTCCATTTTTGGCTGCGACGGCCTCCTGCAGCCCTCTACCAGTGTAAACAGAGCTTGAGGGCCTACACGTGGCCCTCCCGAGCTCTGTTTTTGCTGGCAGAGGCACAGGGGTGGGATTCTACTGGTTCAAACCAGTTCGACGGCCTCCTGCAGCCCTCTACCAGTGTAAACAGAGCTTGAGGGCCTACACGTGGCCCTCCCGAGCTCTGTTTTTGCTGGCAGAGGCACAGGGGTGGGATTCTACTGGTTCAAACCAGTTCGAGCGAACTGGTAGCTCCAACTATCAGCTGGGGGCGAACCAATGATAGGTTCCGGGTGGTACACCCCGGTAAGGGCATACCGCTGGCAGTTGGGAGCAGCGGCCACTGTACCGGAACAGTGTTTTGTTGGGCCCACCGACCTGCCCACGTTCCTTACCTCTTTTTAAGCCAACCAGATTAATTACACGCACGGGCACAGCGTACGCTACCTGTACGATGTCCGCCGAGCAGCTGGTACATTGCAGGGTGGTGGCGTATGCATGCGTGGTGGACTCCCGGCCCCGTTGCAGCGTACCTGTTGCAATGGGATCCGGAACCCACCACTGGAACAAACCGGTTCGCTCTGACTTTCAGCTGGGCCCACCTGCCTGCCCCTCTGCCATACTCACCTATATTCCCTTTTCTGAAGCCCAGCTGACAGGCGTGGTAGAGTGGATTTCCGCACCTCAGCTGTTTTCCTCGCCAGCAGTTATGCGGACGGTGATTTCTCTGTAAACTATGCATACACGCAGCGCACATCAGGCATGTGCGCTTGGCGAACTGGTTATTCAACTGGTAGGATCCCACCCCTGCAGAAGCATCATGGGCCGGTCTTTTACTATTTCCAGGGCAGCCCCATGGGCCAGAACTAAATACCCCGTAGAGCAGATCTGGCCCACAGGCCTTGAGTTTGATACCCCGGCACAAAACAAGATGGAAAACACAAAAATCAATCTGTTTGATCCAGCTGTGACTAAGAATTGTTTCATGATTCTTGTATACAATCTCTTAGAAAAGAGGTCTCCAACCCCTGATCCAAGGACTGGCACTGGTCCATGGCAAACAAGGGAAGCCCCATCTGTGGGATGCAGGCAGGCATCCCTGCCTCCTTCCTCCAAGAGCCGGCTTGGGAGACAGCCAGCCTCCCCCACCGCTGCACCCTTCCCTTGCGGGCCGGGCGCCTCCTATTCCACTTTGCATTCCCCGCTGCCGGGGTTCTCGAAGGAAGGAGGCAGGGATGCAGGCCCGAGGCTCGCTTCCTTACCGCTCGAGGCTTTACTCCCAAGTCAACCCTTGTTCCTTAGCTGTTCCCTTCTCCTGGCATCTCTGCGCATGTGCACACTGGAAACAGGCTCCAGCTGTTCTTCAGAGCCTTCCCCAGACTCCAGGACTGGCCCATGTTCCTCCCCAACCTCCTCACTGTCCGAATCTGCTACCAGCTCCGCTGGCAGGTCACAACAGGTACAGTGTCAGATTCTATGTTTAGAAAATAAAAGGGCAAATTACCTGAGTCTTCCATCCTCTGCGGCAGCTCCTCCTGGTATTATCTTAGTAATAAATATTCCGGGATCATCCCCGATATGTGGGTTATCTGTTCCTCCAGCGATACTGAACCCCAGGCCAGAATTGCCCTACAGGAAAGAGAAAGAGGGAGGAAAATAAATAACAATATAACTGTCAGAGAAAGGGTATCCTTGACTATGCAAGGGTAACAGAATAAAACAAGGGACCTTGCAGATCTTCTAGTTCAGGAGTGTCAAACTCAAGGACTGGGGGCCGGATCCAGCCCGTGAGGTACTTAGATTTGGCCCATGGACTGGCCCGCGGTGCCTCTGTCTGCAAAAACGGGCTCCCAAGCTCCGTTTTTGGCTGCCACAGCCTCCTGCAACCTTGTGCCAATGAAAATGGAGTTCAGGAGGCCCTCCCGAGCTCCATTTTCAGGAGGCGGTGGCAGACGAAAATAAACTCGGGAGCCTGTTTTCACTGGCAGAGCACTCGGGCCACCACAGGTGCCTCTGACAGGAGTGACATCGAACTGGCCACACCCATACTGGACCCTCCACACACACACACACACCCTGAGGTCAAACACAACTCTGATGCGGCGCTCAATGACATCGAGTTTGACACCCCTATTCTAGTCGAACCCGCTGCTTAAGCAGGAGACCCTATACCATTCTGGACAAATACCAGCCATTCCACTAATTAACTGTTTTAATTGACAGGAAATTTCACCTAGAATGTTCTAGGAGGGATCGATCTTTGACAAGCTTTCACCCACTACCGTATTTTTCAGAGTATAAGACGCACCAAGGTTTTGAAGAGGCAAATTAAAAAAAAAAGTTTTAGCACTCTGCAGACCTCCCCAAAACGGCCCGTTTTTTGTGAAAATGGGCCCATTCTCCCCCCCACCCAAAAGGCATGAATAGCTTTTAGGAGGCTTGTAGTGTGTTCCTGGGAGGGGGGGCACAAAAATGAGCAAAAAACGGCCCATTTTTTGTGAAAACGAGCCCGTTTTTTATTTTTTTTAAAGGGCATTAGGAAGCTTATAGAGTGCTCCTGGGGACTGGGGAGGGGGGGAAATTGAGCAAAAGAACTTGGCCATTTTTTGCTCATTTCTGCCTTCCCCAGTCCCCAGGAACTCTCTGAAAGCCTCCTACAAGCTATGCACTGCCATTTTGGTGAAGGGGGCGGGGTTTCGTGAGGCAAAAGATGCTGTATTCAGTGTATAAGACTCACCCAGATTTTCATGCTCTTTTTTGAGGGAAAAAGGTGCATCTTATACTTTGAAAAATACAGTACCAGCCCTCAGTGGGACGGTTTAATAATTAAAAATACAAACAATAAAGCTTTTGGCTCTTTAGAACCAGGGGTGTCAAACTGGATTTCTTTGAGGGCCGGATCAGTATTGTAGTTCTCCTCCATGGGCCGACTAGCAAGAAGAGGTGGGGGGAGATAGGACGGATGCCTCCTGCAGCATCCTGCCAGGCAAAATAGGGCATGGGGGGGGACGCACCCCCAACCCCATTTTGGCTACCAGAGGTACCATGAACTGCTCCTTTGCTATTTTCAGAGCGGACCAGATTTAAGCACTCCATGGCCTGGATCCGGCCCGCAGGCCTTGATTCCCCCCCCCCCAAGTTTATTTTTTAATACATCTTTACATATATTATAGAAACAAAGTGTTGACCAGATTGATGTTGCCTTTTACATCCTCTCCTTTACTTAATCCATTTTACATCGTAGATTGGTTTTCACGTTCAGCCAAATTATTTTCTTCCATTATTTTCCATTTTTTTTATATTCGTTTTTTTCTTAATACATAAACAATATCTTCAATTGCCCCTTCAAAAATTGCACCAAATGATCATTTCATATTTCTCTATTGGTCTATTTTACTATAAACAGTATATATCCTCTAGTTACGTTTTGACATAGAGAGTTTTTTTTTTTTTTTTTTTTAGTTTTATTGCAAATT